CCCCCAAAACGGCATTAACCTAACCTTGGCCGCTCCAATGAGAACTTCCCACTTGCTACAGCTCAGAACCCCAAGTCAAAGAAAGTCTTTTCTTATCTATGCCTTCAAAAATGGAATAGATACTTACCCTGTTCCTGTTTCCCGTAACTTTGATTTAAGAGGCACTGGGCACTGGGCACTGGGGACTGGGGACTGGGGACTGGATAGAACACCCTTGAGATATCACCAGGTCGAATCATATCCACGCGACATTCTTTCTTTTACTTCATTCTTTCATTGCATGCCTATGTATATATTCTATCAACCATCCATCCTCCACGCTCCATGCCATTTATGATATGAATACCTTCGATCCCTGACAAATTTCCGCCTTTCATAAATGCATTGCATCATTCCCCATGCCGTCAATCCGTACGTGCTGTGCTATCATACATCTGAGCCATGAAGTGAGAGCGAGAGTGTAAACTTTCACTTCACATCCGGCGTCTCAGTCTTCTTCATCGTCTCCTTCAGATGAGCATCTAATGGGCCGGCGGGGTTGGATTGGAGGCCCTATTTATTTCACATCGTCAGCATCCATCAATCACCCTTTTTATCTACATCCAAGTATATTGTACCGGTAGATGGGCTGGGGATGATAGGAAGAGAAAACATACCTCCAGAGCATTCTTACTCTCCTCCTTGTTGTTCGTGTCTTTGTTGACTCCCTGACCAGATGAGGGTGCGCCCTGTTGCTTTCCGGAGGATTCCTCTGGGGAGGGGGATTGGCGACCTTGGTTTGGGGCGGACATTTTTGTGGTGGTTTTAGATGGTTTTGTGGTTTGAAGAGATATCTGAGATAAGATGGGATGATTAGTGGATGCTAGTATTTGAAAATGGAAAAGGTGATGGTTGAAGGTTGAGATGGAAAGGACGGTGGTGGAGGGCTAGATCTGAGGGGCAAACGGCTCGTGGAGCTTCGAATCAAGCCACCCATTATCGACTTGTTGACTCGTTGACTTGACTTCGCCTCTCTCGATCCAAAAGGCAATTGAAAAGAGATCTCAAAGACTGACCTGAGTTATCTGAAGCGTTCAAGAGAAATTGATTGCCTGGACTAGTTTAATGAGTGAAGTAGAGAAGAGAACAACAAAAGTAACCCCTCGACCAAAGACCAAGCTGTTTTTAACCCCACCAACCTCCGTCACCAAAACGCTCGACGTCATACCCCCCTTGATTATTATCCCCATCCAAACAATTACCCGAAGCGGCTTACTGTACAAGGCTGTCGATGGTCTTGGCAGCATAACAAGGCTGAATTCAAGTGGATGTTGATTGGTTGGCTGGCGAGATGAGATGTTCATGCGATGTGGAGGATACGCTGGGGATTGAGGAGGGGAAGGAAGGCTGAAAGTTGATGTTGACCTGTCCATGCATCCATTCAGACTTCTGTCTTTGTTTTGATCCATTTCTTCATGACGACCAGTACCGCGAAGTGATACAACATCTTCGTATCCCTACTCCGCATATCTCGAACATCACCTTGGCATCGTGTCCTGAACTTGCTGTCGATAGCTGCGACATTGTCTCGTTCTTTGTCCAGCGATTCAGTCTTCGCAAAGAGATACGGACGACGAGAAACACCACGCCATACTCTCCATCCCTCAATCTACGAATAGCAACATCCGAAACATCATGGCACCAGATCTCAATTCCGTGCCTCCCTCGCCGCGCCCTCTAGCCTCCTCACCTCGTCTCACATCCACAACTTCCAGTCGACGAACGTCGCAGCAGCTTCAAATGGCTCCACCTCCACTGCCACCGGCTTCCCAGACAACCTCTTCATCGACCTCACAAACTCAATTCCATAATCATACCCAACCTCAATCTCAGCAATCCTCTTCACAACACACATCTCCTCCTACCAACGCCGCAGCTCTGAATATCCTCCCCTCGAACCAGAGCGCTGTTAATCAAGGACAGACAATGACGACGTCGCCAGGGATGGTGAATACGGGTGTATTGGTGGGTGATAATACAGGTGTGGGAACTGGACCTGGGCCGTTGCGACATCCTAGGCCTTTGACGGCGGCAGACTTGCATTTACAGTTGGAGAAGGAACAAGAGGCTGTTGTAAGTATTACTTTCTTCTCCGTCTTCAAAATCTGGCATACTAGTATGCATAATATGAGCATATTCTAACAACCCACAGGTCAACCGTCTAACGCGCGAACTCTCCATGCTCCGCGCCGCCCAAAACGCGTCCGTCGTATCAAACACCTCATCCACCTCCGCCGGCCTCCCAGATACTTACGACCACAACGCAAACCACTTGCTCAGTGGCCCCTCTCACCCAACTCCCTCCCAGCGCCGTCACCACCGCTCATCCTCAGCAACATCCTCCCGCAGTGCCTCAGCCCTCGCATCCCTATCTTCCATCCCATCCACAACCGCAGACCGAACTCGTGGGCCTTCAAACCCCATCCCAGGAGCAGGAGCAGGAGTACCAGGATCAGCACACCCGCAATCCATCTCCCTCTCCCGTCAAAACTCCACAACCGGCCCAGGCCCAGGCCGGAGCGGTACATCCTCCCCTCTCCCCACACCCGGTTCAGGCTCCTACCAATCTCTAGCCGGTGAGTCCTTCCCCTCATACTACACCTCGCGACCCATCCCGCACCGCGACCCGAGTTCCAGTAGTCTAGCTATGAGCGGTGGTGGAGGAACGGAAATGCACCGCGCGGATAGCATTACCAGCGTGCAAACTACGGGGCGGTACGAGGAGGCTACGTATCATCGACATGAGCTGGAGGCTGTGAAGAGGGAGAATGATGTGTTGAAGCGGAGGATTAGGGAGTTGGAGAGGACGTTGAGGAGGAGGAGACAGAGTGATGTTGATGCTGAGGGAGCAGGGGGAGAGGGGACGAGAGTTAGAAGTGAGAGTGTTAGCACGACGGCGAGTGTTAGGGATGGTGCTGGGGGTGGAGGAGGGGGCGGTGTGAGTCTTGCTGGTGTGAGGGGCAGGGAGAGACCGAAGGAGGAGGAGGAGGAGAGTGAGGTGGTGCAAGTTGGTGAAAGTGCTAGGAGTGCTGGTCTGTAGGGATGCGGCACGAATGCTCTCTACCTGGATACTTTATGTTCGGGGTAGCGGAGGGAGAACGACGGGAAGGAAAGAAATTGTTTTACGGCTTCAGTAAACGAGACTAGACGACATTATGATACGACACATTTCCTCTCTGGAACTTGAATTTGGGGCTCGGTTTGGAGTTTGGGTTGGCACACCTCTGGAAAATGGCAGGCGGGAGTTTTTCTCTTTCTTGCACTTCCGCTTTCCAATCTGCCCTATCACAGTGGTTCCTATCAGCTAGACAGACACAATAGCTAGCCCATTAAGACTTTGAATTGAATACTGGCTGGCACTTGATAAGTTGGCATTTGTGATCTTAACGAGGGGCCATTACATCAGCGTATGACAAAACCATAGTGCAGTATACTTGACGTGGCATACTACCCTATGTGCCTATACATTCAATCCTTCACTTCCTCTCTTTCTTATGCATCCTAGACATAGATGGAGGGACTACAGTAACTTCCCTTGGTTCTTTCTTGGAATACTCAGACTGTGACTTCCAAAATGTTCAAATGTGAGATAAACCGATTTGACAAATGGACCTTTATAGTCTCCACCTCCGCCTATCACGCATAATAGGACTTTGTCACGAACAACAGAGAGCAAGAGACAGCAGAGTCGTTCCAAGGCGTGATTTGCTCGAGCTTTAATCCTTGCATAAACTAAGGTAAACATCATTGTGGATATCCTCCTAAATCTCTCGCTTAACACATATCCACTCTCTTGCCACTCCACTCATCTCCACCTCACAGCCTGGAAAATCCCACACAACGCTATCCCATATATTTATTCAAATAAGCACCTTTTCCTTCATCCAATCATCTCTCTCCTCTTCTCATCTCAGAAAGGGAAAACATCCCGACTGGTGTAGTGGTTAGCATTTCCGCTTTTCAAGAAGCCTTCTGGCTATGAAATAACAACGCGGGAGACCGGGGTTCAATTCCCCGGTCGGGAAACAGATCTTTCAAAGGAGTTTGAGATGACTTTTTGTGATTTTGGCGGTCTTGGGGTGAGGCCGGGTCGGGTTTTGATTAGAGAAGAAAGTTGGTGATTTATAAGGGTTTTTTTTCTTTGTTTAGTGGCTCTTTGTTCGCTTAGTCTTCGTTCTGGTTCTTTTCGGCCTTTCACAAAGGCTTGTGTGAGAATGTGCATGTTTTTCTTTTTTGTAAGGATTAACAGAAGCTGGTTGGTTGCCTTTTGTTCTTAGATGAATATAAATTCTTCTCAAGTGTAAACATTAAACTTCTAACGTCCCTCTCTGCGTGCCGAGAAACAGTTGAGGATTAGAAGAAGAAGTGATAGCAGCATGCTTGATTGACTGGAACTGGGTTCCTTTACGGAATTATATACCCGTGGGCATGTGCTATAATACACTTTACTTAGAGACTAGGATTGCCCAACCAACAGAAACCTGACGTACCGCAATATAGCCAAGGTATTTTTCACCGGTTCCTAGAACAGATATACGCTTTGCCAAAACTCCGCTAAGAATCTCCTTTACAGTGTAGTAACTTCCAAATCTAAATGTCACTCGCTCATCGTTATTTTGCACGATAACAATGCATTTATATAAACTGCCTAAAGAACATATCTGAATTGTCTAGGCGCTAATTAATCAACAATCAGAATGCCAGCCTATGAGGACAGTGTTTCTTGAGGCTTGCTTACGTATTCGTTTTCGAGTTCTATACCTTTTTCAACGGAAGCTATTCCCGTGGTTCGGGTTTCATAGGCTGTTCGCCCAGCACAGGAGCCTCAAGCTCATCTGAGACCGCTTCGTCATCGTCAGGATATCTTCAGTCTTCAACTTCTTGTTCCAGTACTTCTCAGGGGTCAAAAACATCGAATCAAAACGGCAGAGTTGCGCCTCCTGACGATTCGAGTGATGGAATAAGCGGCCGCTGATCCGTTTGTCGTCTTCTGGGATGATCCAGGCAGTCGCCAACACGCTTGGCCATTCTTTATACGCAGCCCAAGTAGGTAAAATCAAAGAGGGACATGCAAAGGACCTGGATTTCGGTCAATTTCCCATCTTAAGTATGTATTTCTAAGGAGCTTGATCGAGAGTCTCACAACCAGAGGTGATATCACTTTGCTAATAGATGTCCAGGGAGCACCTTTACCGTTGCCACATGGCCCCAATTCAATGCCCAAGGTGCTGGATTGAAGTCGGGGAAGAAAGCGGTCTCGAGATTCACTCGAATAGAGACACGCAATGTCAGAAGCGAGATCCTCAACCAGCAGATGAATTTGTCCTTGGAAGTTCAAAACTTTTGAAGAGCAAGAAGAGGCTCACTTCAGAACCAGGAGATGAGGCTCGGTGGAGAGACGTTTTTCGTATATTATTCCCTGGGATCCAGCCCATTCCGACTTCCTGTAGGTGCCCAGTACATCCCTTATCAGTGTTCAGTTTTCAGTCTGTGCCTAAAGATGAAATGTCCTGTTGATTGTCTTCCCACATATTATGACCGGTCACTGTAGTTGCAAAAGCGATTCTATTGAAACTACAGAAGAATTTTCTAAGGTTATAGGGGTAAGTCATGTGACCTATTGACCGAGCAACCAGATTCAGGCCGTAAGGCCCTCGGGCAGCCACATCACCAATACTTCTACATCCTCCACCCAACTCTGAAAAACTGGACGAGTTCTGCCAGTACTCTCAGACAGGCCTTCCAGGTCTAATTGAGACTCATGTGGAAAGAATTCCGGAAAAAGAACTTCAGCCTTTAGAAGCAAGAATTGAAAGCATGGTGCAAGACATAACTCGGAATTGTCTCTCGGATTTGGTTAGAGACTGGCAAACATCTGAGTTTGTGAACACTGGTTCATACCAAAGCTCGAGTCACGCAACGGGACCAACAAACGAAGCACCTGCTTCTCATAATTCCACCTACCTTGATCAGAATTCCTCTTGGATAGAAAATACCGACCTTGACACAAGAAATCGACGAGAGATGGCCTAGTCTGAAACCAACAGCTCTTTTCACCATCTACATTTCTTGGGCTCGGTGGTCGATGAAGAGAACACGGAAACACCAAGTGCAGAGTGGATGTATCCAACGACGCTCAATCTCGCAATGAACACTTACTCCAATCCCATGCAAGTTGGACCCAGCTTCTGCGCAGCCCCGTTCTGTTTAGGTGTTCCTCCCCATTAGAGCCACAAAGGTATGAGGGCAAGGGAAAGGAGCCGGAAGCTGTCTCAACTGGAGGAACAAGATCTCTTTCGTACAATCTGCTTCCCAAATCCTAGCGATGGAACTCCCACTCTGTGACCCTTCTTTGTCAAAGAGCATAGGTGACTGAACATAAATATACCACATTCGATTCAGGATCATTGGGCCATGTTAAGGCAGCCAATCGAGATGGGGTTTCATCGGAAAGTCTTTTCATCATAGGTGGTGCGAGGGGGAAGCGCTGGACGACCGGCTGGCGTAACAGTGATATTTGAGAAGATGCACTTCGATATAAATTCACATACTCCATTGAAACGTTCAATTGTTTTTGAAGTTATTGATACATGATGAGACACATTGTACAGTACGAACGCTTTCAGCTTGAAACCTTCAAACTCTCGTCCCTTAGGCATTTCTTATTCTGCGCCATACTATCAGCAGACCTATGTCGCAACCCAACATCTCCAAGCTCAATATCAAGTCCACCTTTATCAAGGGACGACCCCGCTGTTACAGGTATAGAAGACGCGGGTCCAGGACGAACAAAGGAAGTGCGTAGAACATTGATATCAATTTCATCATCGTCGATGCCGAGGGCTGATTGTATTATGTCTTCGAGATGTGCGGAGATGATTTCGCGGAGAGTCGTGTGTGTTCGTCGAGAACGAGAGTTGGTACGTATTTGCTGCGAGGGTTCATTTGCAGATCGTGTGCGCCGAAGAGGGGTGTTATAGGTGGGGAGGATGACGCCGATGAGTTGTTTTTCTGAGTACTAACACAGTACTCAGGTGGAGATGGATGGGAAGAAAGGGGTGGAGGAGTGAGGTGCACGGGTCAGGTGCCACGAGGAAGGTGAAGTGTGTGATGAGAGGGGAGTGAGGTGGAGAAAGTGGGGCAGTTACCATCAATATGTCTTGCTGGCCGACGGTACTTCCTCCAGATGAACGCAATGCTCACGACAATCATGACTGCTCGATACACGATACAGGAAATAGACTCGGGGGTCCAAATGCTTGGCTGGTCAGGGGGTGCCGACATGATGGAGCCGAGCAGCTTGCTCAACGACAGAAAACCAAATTGACGGGAGGAATGAATACTTTGGTAATTTGAAAAGGAAAGAGAATAGAGGTGAAGAGAAATGAAAGAAAGAGAGGGCCTTGTCATAGAGATCAATGAGCTCCTTATATCCCTGGTGGGATCAATCATGGCGACGGTTATTCTGGCGGCTTGCCCCGAGGCTCAGAGTGAAGAGCATCGCCGAGTTCTGAATCGGCACTGACCAGATCTTATCGTTAGGAGAGAGACAGACAGGAGAATCTGGGCGAGCTGATTGCCATGCAGGCACGCGGTTGAGAGCCGTCAGCGGGCAGGGTGGGTGAAGTGAGCAGAGCGTCGCCTCGAAGACAGTACCCAACCAGTTGGTCACACTGAGAGACGGCGAGAAACCAACTCCTGCTCTGCTTGCCGTTGCTGTCGGTATTAAAAGCCTCGTCACGCCAGGGGGCGGGTGTTGGACCGTGTAAGATGGCAATGTCGAAACAGAGCAGCGTCGCCCAGAGCTTTGCAGGTGTCTCGCCGGACCCTTGTCTGCGGCCCAAGCCGAGCATCGCCCAGAAGTTCCTTGGTGGAGGAGGGATCTCGAATATGGGCGATGCTTCGACAGGCTCAATGATTGGATTTTGTCTCATGCGGAGCCGAAGACCTCAGCACAACCAAGATTGGGCTGTATGAAAATCGTTCAGAGGTGTGCCATCTTGGCCCTGCCTCAAAGACCTGCTTTCAGAGCCTCGTGGGCTTCAACCATCTTCGACAGCAATTGAGGGTTTGGAATTCGCACAGATCGACAGATTATCGCCTTTGCACCATAACATATCAACTGCCTAAGAGGCGATAGTATCGCCTACCACGAGCTGAAATGGCACGCACCAAAGCTAGCGTACGTAGAGCCTGGGAAGCGTCCAAAACAAATCTCCAGCCATGGTGGTACACAGCACTGCCCAATGCCATGAAGTTGCTTGATCCTACTCATACGGGGGAGATTGGGTTTCGGAATCCTGAAGTGGACCGAGCAAGAGCGAACATACTATCCTCGTGCGATCTATACCGCCCTAACGCCCAAGCAAACGTATTTCTGAATCTTCTCGAAGCGATTGAGAAGGAACGAAAAGAAACATTTCTCCACCACCAAGCACTTGTTGCAAACCTGGAGGCTCAACTGAAATCGACAAAAGCGAAAGACGTGTCTGCCAGCACAACACAGCATGATCCTCTCGATCAAGGACAAATTGTTGAAGCGCCCCCGAACGATATGCAATCCCTTGGGAGAGTTGTACTACGGGGGCCGATCTCTCCATCCATTGTTCCTGTATCGCAGCCCACAGGTCTAACAGACTCGGACTCACCAGTCAAGAGCCAATCCACCAAATTCGACGGCGGGGCTGACGGAAATATGGCAACAAGAGCAGAACATAAAGACAAAGATCCATTGAAATTCAGATTCAAATGCGACAGATGCGAGAAAAGCTTTACACGATCCACCACTCTCCAAGAGCACCGAAGGTCTCACAACGACGAGCGACGATGGGGTTGTCAGCATTGCAAAAAACGATTTGTACGTTTGAAGGACTGCAAACGGCACAAATCACTCCAACATGCTCCAAAGACGATTGAATGTGGTAGATCGTTCTGGTTACAGGGGGAAGGATGGCAATGGGGTTGCCATCAGCGATTTACTAGAGAAGATGGCCTCGTCTCACATCTTCGCACCGAGAAGGGTCAG